CTGCTCCCCACAGCTTGGTGTCACCTGCAGACTTGCTGAGGGTGCACTTCATGCCATCTTCCAGGTTGTTGATGAAGATATTGAACAAAACCAGCCTCAGGACCATCCAACCCCTGGGGCACTCCACTTGATACCAGCTGACAGCTAGACATTGAACCATTGATTGCTACCCTTTGAGACTAGTGATCCAGCCAGTTTTCAGTCTACTTTGCAGTCCATTCATCCAATCCATACTTGCTTAGCTTGCTTGCTTAGCTTGCTGTGGGAGATGGTATCAAAAGCCTTGCTAAAGACAAGGTATATCATGTCCACTGCTCTCCCCACTTCCACAGAGCCAGTTATCTCATCATAGAACACAATCAGGTTGGTCAGGCATGACTTGCTCTTGGTGAACCCATGCTGACTGTTTCTAATAACCTTCGTCTTCTCCAAGTGCTTAGAAATTAATTCCTTGAGGATCTGCTTCATGATCTTTCCAGGGACTAAGGTGAGCCTGACTAGTTTGTAGTTCCCTAGATCCTCCCTTCTTCCCTTTCTTAAAGATGGGCACTGTATTGGCCTTTTCCAATAATCCAGGACCTCTCCTGACTGCCGTGAGTTTTCAAAAATAATGGCCAGCGGCTCTGCAGTCACATCTGTCAACTCCCTCAGCACCTTCGGAACCACTGCATCTAGCCCCATGGACTTGTATATGTCCAGCTTTTCTAAATAGTCCCTAGCCTGTTTTTGCCACTGTTAGCTGCTCACCTCCTCCCCAAACTGTGCTGCCAGGTGCAGTAGTCTGGGAGCTGACCTGGCTTGTAAAGACTGAGGTAAAAATGGTATTGAGTACTTCAGCCTTTTCTGCATCATCTGTGATTAGGTTGTCTCCCCCATTCAGTAAAAGACCCACACTTTCCCTAATCTTTTTCTTGTTGGTGACATACTTCTAGAAACCCTCCTTGTTACCCTTCACATCCCTTGTTTGCTGCAACTCCGGTTAGGCTTTCACCTTCCTAATTTCATCCCTGCATGCCTGAGCAATACTCTTATACTCCTCCCTAGTCATTTGTCCAAGTTTTACACTTCTTGTAAATTTCCATTTTTTAGTTTTAGCTCACTGAAAAGTTCCCTGCTAAGCCAAGCTGGTTTTCTGTTATACTTGCTACTCTTCTTGTGCATCGGGATGGTTAATTCCTGCACCCTCAGTGAAATTTATTTAAAATGCAGCCAGCTCTCCTGGACTCGTTTCCCCCTCAGACTGACCTTCCAGGGGATCCTGCCCATCAGTTCCCTGAGCAAGTTGGAGTCTGCATTTCTGAAGTCCAAGGTGATTACTCTGCTGCTGTCCATCCTTCCTTTCCTCAGGATCCTTAACTCAATCATCTCATGATCTCTGCTGCCCAAGTTGCCATCCATTTCTATGTTCCCCACCAATTCTTCCCTGTTTGTGAGCAGCATATCAAGGAGAGGATGGCCCTTAGTTGGCCTCTCCAACATTTGCACCAGGAAGTTGTCTCCAACACTCTCCAAAAGCTTCCTGGATTGCCTGTGTACTGCAGTATTGCCCTCCCCATTGAAGTCCCCCATGAGAGCCAGGCCTGTGATCTGGAGATTTCTGCTGGCTGTTTGCTGGCTGCCTCATCCACCTCATCCTCCTGGTCTGGTGGGCTATAGCAGACACCCACCACAACATCACTCTTGTTGCTTTCCCCTCTGACCCTAACCCAGAGACTTTCAACAGGCCTGTCTCCAGTTTCAGACTGGAGGTCTGATCAGTCATACAGCTGTTTTACATAAAAAACAACTCCTCTCCCCTGTCTATCCTTCCTGAACAGTTTACACACATTCATGACAGTATTGCATGCAGTCTTGCAAGCTATCCCACCAAGTGTCTGTTGTTCCACTCATGTCATAGTTCTGTGACTGTGTGAAGACTTCCAGTTGTTCTCCTTGTTTTCCAGGCTCTGTGCATTTGTGTATAGATACCTGAGGTAACTAGACGATTGCCCTACTTTTTCATGAAGAATGAGATCGCCTCCCCTGTTGCCCCTCCTGCTTGCGCTTCCTCCAGGTCACCCGCTTCCCTACTTACCTCAGGACTTCGATATCCATCCCCAGGTAAACCTAGTTTAAAGCCCTCCTCACTAGGTTAGCAAGTCTGTCTGTGAAAATTCTCTACCCTCTCTTCATCAGGTAGATCCCATATCTTTCTACCAATCCTTCTTTTTGGAACAGCATCTAATGGTCGAACAAGCCAAAGCTCTGCTGGCAACACTATCTGCCAATATGTGTACCTTTGGAGATAGGATGGTTAGTTGTGGTGTGTGTTTTTTGGAGTATTTAGGGTGAACTTTTCATTCATTTGTGACCCAGCAGGATGTATGATATCTTGCATTATGTGCTGGTACCTATCAGCATGTCATTCAGTGTTAGCTATCTCTTTGTTGGCTTTGTATAAATGTGGGAGTAACTTTAGAGGGACTATAAAACTTTGAGCAGTTAAAGAGTCTTGCTTTTAGAAGATGGGTCCCGCTACATCTACTAATATTCTGAAGCACAATATATTTTTTTCATATAAAGTTATTTAGAACTGTTCTCAAAAGCAGAAACGTACTTCCTAAAGCCAGTCATATGGACAAAGCTCATCTGTATTTTCAGTACCACTGACTGACATTGCATTCAGAATAAAAGGGGCATTCAGTTGCTCGGGGCTGCAGGGGGGCAGTCAGGAAGGCCAAGGTGGAGATGGAACTGGGACTAGCTACCCGGATCAAGGACAACAAGTCCTTTTTTAAATACATAGGGGGCAAAAAGAAGGTACTGGGTAATGTGGGGCCTCTGCAAGACATGCTAGGAAATCTGGTTGTCGCACCAGACGATAAGTCTAACCTATTTAACGATTTCTTTGCCTCCATTTTCCTGAGCAGGGACCAGATCAGCCTGTCTGCCGGGACCCCCACAGGCCCCAGGGGAGGTGCACCCAGGCCTAGGGTCAGTGAGGATCTAGTCAGGGAACTTTTGGAGGGACTGGACGTATTTATATCAGCTGGTCCTGACGACCTGCACCCCAGAGTGCTGAGGGAATTAGCAGAGGTCATTGCGGACCCCTGGCACGGCTTTACAAGCACTCTTGGTGTGGTGCCAGAGGACTGGAAAAGGGCCAATGTGGTTCCCATTTTCAAAAAAGGGAGGAAGGAGGACCCAGGAAACTATAGCCCAGTTAGTCTTACCTTGATCCTGGGTAAGCTTTTTGAGAGAATTATCCTGGCTCATGTCCACGAGGGGCCAGCAGGGGAGGTTATACTTAGGGGCAACCAACATGGGTTCATTAGAGGCAGGTCCTGTCAGACCAACCTGGTGGCCTTCTATGACCAGGTCACAAAATCCTTAGATGTAGGGGTAGCAGTGGACATAGTCTTTCTGGACTTCAGGAAGGCATTTGACACTGTCTCTAACCGCATTCTCATTAAAAAACTAGGGGACTGTGGCATCAGCACCTACACAGTCAAATGGGTTGCTAACTGGCTGGAGGGCCACACCCAGAGAGTGGTGGTGGATGGGTCATTTTTGACCTGGAGGGATATAGGTAGTGGGGTACCCAGGGCTTGGTCCTCAGACCCACGCTGTTCAACATCTTCATCAGTGACTTGGACGAGGGGGTAAAAAGCACCCTGTTCAAATTTGTTGACGATACTAAGATGTGGGGGGATGTGAGCACACTAGAAGGGAGGAATAGACTGCAATCGGACCTAGACAGGTTACAGGGGTGGGCGGATGAGAACAGGATGGGTTTCAACACTGACAAGTGCAAGGTGCTGCACCTGGGGAGCAAGAACCAGCAGCATACCTACAGGCTGGGGAGCTCCCTTCTTGTCAGTGCAGAGGCAGAAAAGAATCTTGGAGTCATTATTGATGCCAAAATGAACATGGGCCAACAGTGTGGGGACGCAGTCAGGAAGGCCAACCATACCTTGTCATGCATCCACAGATGCATCTCAGGCAGGTCCAAGGAGGTGATCCTCCCCCTCTACGCAGCACTGGTCAGGCTGCAGTTGGAGTACTGTCTCCAGTTCTGGACGCTGCACTTCAGGAGGGATGAGGACAACATTGAGAGGGTTCAGAGGAGGGCCACCCATATGATTAGGGGTCAGCAGGGCAGGCCCTACGAGGAGAGGTTAAGGGACCTGAACCTGCTCAGCCTCCACAAGAGAAGGCTGAGGGGGGATCTAGTGGCCTGTTACAAACTGGTCAGGGGGGACCAGCAGGCATTGGGGGAGTCCCTGTTCCCCCGAGCACTACCAGGAGTGACTAGAAATAACGGTCACAAGCTGGTAGAGGGTAGATTCAGACTAGACATCAGGAGGCGCTACTTCACAGTCAGGGCGGCTA